GGTTAGCTCATTTGATGTCAATGATATGCACTTTAAGAGATGCTTACATTTTAAACCACGTGTAAGGCTAAACTCAAATTTTAACTGTTAACACCCTGGAATTTAAAGCTCCAGTTACTAAGCATTGCGTTTGAAATAGTCTACAAAATATGAATGGTAGTGCAATTAATATGAACCACTCTAGATAAAATAGCCTATGTCTGGATTGTTAATATCATAAATATGCATGATCAATAACAAGCTCTATCCTTTAGCCCTCTTCGAAAACAGTGTTAAAGTCCAAGTTCATGAACATTTAATCTCCTTTTAAGTGGAAGCTTGTAATTAGGTTATTGGATCAGTCAGTGTAAGCCATTGTAATGTGGGCTAATGTGAGACATTATCCTTATGCTAAAGAGAAAACCACAGGTTATTTGTGGTTTTTCACCCTAACATCAATGAACGTCTGTAGCCTTCATAATAAAGGTCAGCATTAACACTTTGTGCAAAGACTCTCCACCACATATCAACCGTCCAGCAGTTTGGGTTACTTATTATAGATTATAGGTAGAGCATCAGTGTTTAGTCCTATCCATTGCAAAAATGTAATAGTAAATATTTGTATCATAGCTCAGAGTTTTGTTTGAGACTAACCTTAATTTGCTAAAACAGACATGTTTCAAAATATATTCCTCGTAACTTTTATATGAAATGTTCAGCGACAACTTCAGTCTGAACTATTACTAAATCAAAATTACTAAGTGTGTGTGTGTGTGTGTCTCTGTCTCTCTCTCTCCCTCCCTCTCTCTCTCTCTCTCTCTCTCTCTCTCTCTCTCAGTGGGACATGGCAAACGGAGGGGACCAGTTCGGCCTTGCAGAGCGTCCGGACTCGGACTGCATGGATTCCCCAAAAGAAACCAAACAGGAAAATCCCAGCTACACCTTAAACTCACCGGCCTCACCGCAGACAGCGTCCAGCCAGCAGGTACTGTGGAGTCTAACGTAGATATGGATTTACTGATTATTGAGTTCAACTGACCTCAAGTCCGCGGTCTTTGTCAAAACAAACCGAAGCACAAGGAATTTATTGATGCAGTAGAGATTTTTTTTTTGTTGAATTTACCAAAACCACTAAATCATTAGCCTATTTCAAATATACGACTCGCTATAAAATTACTATATAAACTACATTTAATTTTGAAAAAATAAATCGAGTGTGTAATTCATTTGTAGGCCCTGTGTTCTGCTTTAGTTTTACTTCCAGAAGACTTGCTCTACATTTGTAGTGAGCACTGTTTATATTTTGCTGCAGGGGATGGAGGGAATCAAAGTTTTCCTTCATGACAGGGAACTCTGGACGAAGTTTGATGAAGTGGGAACTGAAATGATCATCACTAAAGCTGGAAGGTAGGAGGAAAATAACTCTCTGTTGACTACATAAAATAGATTTTGACTTTGGGTGTATTTGATTTACTTTATCATGATTTTTTTTGCGTGTGTGTGTGTTTTATGAAGCCAGGCATTTCACTAAAACGCTGTAGGAGAATTGAATGAAGAATGATTTTTTTAATGAATCGCAGTCCTGGCCCAACAGAATGTAACATATGCATGTGGCATTAAGGCCCTCAAGGGACATGTTTTCTCAGAGGAGCACAAAGGCCTATGTATTATTAACATCAAGTGTTTTTCTAATCTAAATCTCCTTGTGTTTTTCCCTGAACACGTGCCCTATAGGAGGATGTTCCCCAGTTACAAGGTGAAGGTCACAGGCCTCAACCCAAAAACCAAGTACATACTCCTCATGGACATTGTCCCCGGGGATGACCATCGCTACAAATTTGCAGACAACAAATGGTTCGTATATGACAACACTTCATATTTATCAGAGTAATCGTCTGAATCCAAACTCAGTGGACCACACCCTCAAAAACCTGTGATAGGCTAATGTGATCAAATATGCCATGCAGCAGTAGCCATGTCTGTACAGGTCAGCTTTCCCATGATGGATTCACGATTATGTTTATTATAATATTTAACATTGTTATGGTGGGGGGCTCGCGGATTGAATGCTAAATAAAATGATAGATCGTAGGCTATGGAAAAAATCAATAACCTAAATCAATTTCTTGTTCAGTAATTATTTTTCCCCACATTTTCACATATGTCACCTTGTTGCCACTTTATTATCATATGTGGCCATGAATGTTTGAGTCTGATAAACCAGTAAAAGGAAATCCGTCTATACCGTGTTGTTGTGAGTTTATACCCTCCGCTCCATCCCCGCCTGCGCGCACTGGGTAAAGGTCGGCTCCCTCTTGCAGACCGGGGTGGCCTAGTTCCCCGTGTTTCCCCCCAGTGTCTGCCCGCCGGTTGAATCAGAGTGTGAAGGGTTCACCGGGCGGACAGACGACATAGACCGGATTAAAGTCTCCCGTTCAACTGTTGTGTTGTGCTGAGGGGAAAATCCGAGCAGACCACTGACTCTTACAGTGAGAGCCATCAATGCTCTGCCTCCTCACAGCATCAGACACTCGGTCATTGCAACGCAACGGGCCGGACACCGGGGTTTGTGGATAAACTAGTGTGACACGGAGTCCCAGCTCAGAGCCTCGGCCCAATGGAGGCGCGGGGTGTTTATAGAGAGAAGTTGGTGCTGTAGCCTGAAGGCATTTTTCAGAGATAAAGTTTGTGTGTGTGTGTGCGTGTGTGTGTGTGTGTGTGTGTGTGTGTGTGTGTGTGAGTGTGTGTGTGAGTGTGAGTGAGGGAGATGAATCCCCTTAAATATAACAGGCTGTAAAATATCATATCATACATGCCAATTTATTTTTTAGTTTGACCTTCACGCTTACACATTGCAGAGTCAACAGAGGCCAGGCTTCACATGAACTTGATCACTATTCTTCTAGGCCTTGCTTCAGAGTCTCTGGCACTAACTTTACCGTCTGTTAAAAGCGAGAAAATAGATCACTCAGATCAGATTGTTGTTTTAGTTTTGTGACGATTTATTTCAGCAGACGGGTCCGGCGCCTCATCAACAACATCGCTCCTGCAGAGAAAGCAGAGGCTGCTGCAAATCTGGGAGCAGAGCAAGTTAATTTGAGTCCGCTGAGCTAAGGTCCAGATGTGGCTATCTGTGTAAACTTCAGCAAAACGCGGTGCATTTGGAGTCTGTCTAATTAAAGCACCAGATAGACCTTCTGCAGCCGGCGGCAGCTCAGGCCTCCTGCGCGGCGTGGCGCCGGCCAGAGCGTGTGCACGTCCGCTCAGACAAACCACTGTGACCCACTGAGCGTCATTGTCTGACTGACTGTTTTTGTGGTCTGCTCCATTTTTTTTCTTGGCCGTTTAGGTCGATAACGGGAAAGGCAGAGCCCGCGATGCCGGGGAGACTCTACGTCCACCCGGACTCTCCCGCCACCGGGGCGCATTGGAGCCGCCAGCTCGTCTCTTTTCAGAAGCTGAAACTCACCAACAACCACCTGGACCCATTTGGACATGTGAGCCCTCTTAATAACATTTCCCAAGTGTGGTGGATTGCCTGTTTATGTACAGACAAAACAAGGAAATTTGTTGTTTATCTGTTTGAAATAGAATCAGAGCGTTTGGAGTGTGTTTATAGGCCTCTAGTTTGAGGCTGCTTCCAATAAAAGTCGTTTAAAAACAATACGCTCGTGAGGACACCAATCATAAATTTAAATATCAAATATCCATAATATGCATTTTAAATAAGTAACAGAGTAGCCTAATGGTTTTAATTTAAGAAGAATGATTGCACAACTGCTACAGTCACAGGTCCGGTCCAGCAGAGAGGCTCAACCCCAGGAGCCCCATTCAGTCCTCAGCTGGCAGCACAGACTGTGTAACTCAGCAGACATCACAACACAGCACAAATCACCACTAGGGCAGAGCGGACACAATTCAGACTCCACACACTCATTCCCGCCGTGCCCAGCTTTCCCACTGACACACCACGCAGCCTATAGTAACAGTGTACTACTGTATACATTGGGCGCAATGAACTGCACCGGCGCGCCAGCACCCTTGCGCACCCATGTGTGTGTCCGCGCAGAAACAAACAGAAACATCATCTTTTCAGACTTGGTAAATTAGAGGTAATGATTTCAGTGGCTTTAAAGTCCATTAGCTAATGCATGTCACAGGCGGACACGTCACTGCGATTAAACTGAGCCCCCCTGGATAAACAAACGTGGTCCAATTAAAAAGCACTTGTGGAGTTGTCGGTGTCGTGGGAAATAGTTCAGACCGTGAGTTGTTATAGTTTTACATCACTGGTATGTCCAGGCCAAATGTAGCAAAGTTAGAGCCAGGTGGACATAAGAAATGCTGCAGTAATAAGTAGTCACCACTAACCTTTCAAGAAGTTGCTTCCAATGTTGCTGCCAAGTTAATGATCAGTGAACGTGGGAAATCTGGAACATCAAATTATATTGTTTAAATTTAGGCCTGAATATCCAGTCCTGTGGATTCAGATCTTACATAACTATGTGTTGTTTGGTTTGGGTCAGAAAATGGTCACAGATGTCATATTTGATCAGTAGATTAAAATAAACAATGTGTAATATGATTCACTAATCAGTTTGTTTTCATGTATGATTTTTTTAGTGGCATTTAAATGAAAAAAAGACTTTCATAAGTCCTTTTTGGTGATTGTTCTAACCAGAGCAGGTAAAAAAAACATCATATTATTCCTATATTCATGCAGGACTCATGCCCACAGAATTTGGCTACAGTCTTGGAGGGAGGCCATGTAAACAAAAATCACTTATTTGTTTTTCATGTTGACTTACACCAGTTTGATCCTGCTCATATGTAAAGCATGAATCTTTGTTTCATGTCAGCCAAGAAATCTGGTGTATCTTGACTATAGGTGGGCCTACCCTTCACATGGTCTCCAGTTCAGGCCAGTCCAGGTCCCAGCATCTGCTGGAGTGTTTTTTTTTTTTTTTTTTTGAAACACGGAGACAGCTCTGTCAGCCTCACCTTCTCAATCTCTCCCCTGTGCAGATAATACTCAACTCCATGCACAAATACCAGCCTCGTCTCCATATAGTCAAGGCGGACGAGAACAACGGCTTCGGCTCTAAAAACACAGCTTTCTGCACCCACGTCTTCTCTGAGACTGCCTTCATCGCTGTGACGTCCTACCAGAACCACAAGGTAGGCTTTGCACACTACTGAGACAGTGTTAAAGGTCAGGAACTATCCTACCCACATGTTTTGGAGAGGTGCCACCTAAACCTCCTTTATGGATGAAACTACAATACAATTTTGGATTAAACCATATAAATACAATAAGGTCACTGTGAGTCACTGCAAGTCCCGATAGGAATGTAATAATAATTGATGTTTATACATCAGTTGGTGTTTGAATATGAAGTGTACTGATTTTCTACAGGCTGGAGCTATAGGCAACCTCGTGATTATTCAAACAATGGAACAAATAGAGCTCAAAGTCTTATGTGCACGAATCAGATCTGTTCTACTGTCAAATCTGTGACCATTTAGACAAGTGCATGAAGTTTTGCCTTTGGTCACTGGGCACATTCAAACTTCTGCCACACACACACACACACACACACACACACACACACACACACACACACACACACACACACACAGACAGACACAGACACTCTTTCTCTGTTTGTATTACCGTCTGTATTTTGTGTCCAGAAAGTCAATTTGCATGTTCTTTGTTTATGTGTCCTTACTCAGTATTTGTAAACATGTCCAAAAATAAATTGTGTGTGTGTGTGTGTGTGTGTGTGTGTGTGTGCGCGCGTGCGCGCCTGTGCGTGCGTGTGTGTGTGTGTGTGAGTGAGAGAGAGCACATGTAAGTGTTGGTATGTAATGACCTGTTTCTTTCCCTTGATCTTGGCTGATCCAGTTTCCTTTGTCTTTGTCTTTGACGGACTGCGGCCTTATAAGCCTTGAACTCTGCTGATAAACTTTTCACAGGGTAGCTTCAATTTGATCACATTTCATAACGAATCATAAATAACATAAATAAATACATTGCAACTACATTATTTTCTTCAAAGTTTTGCAATTCTTTTCCTTAATTTTTACATAATATATATCTTGTCAGTAAAATTGCTCACCTGAGAAAATTCACCAAATTTTTACGTACAGTGTTTTTCAATTCATTGTATAATAAAGAGTGTACAATCAAAAGTTTGTATGTATATATATTGTATTTTAAACTTACTACTAATTTATACTTATATTATTATTATTATTATTATCAGTAGAAGTAGTAGTGGAATTAAGTGAATTAGTTTTAAGTTTTGCTAATTATTTGAAATTTTCTGAACCATTACATCTGTGTATGCAATGTAGTTATTGCGTAAAAAAAATCCTAAGCTCTGTAGTTGTATCATACATACAGAAACACATAGATCTGATACCATAATTGTTGTACAGTATAGAAATTACAGCTGTGGAGCAAATAGTGTGGCGGAGGTCGATATCAGTATCGACACTTCAAAGTTTGTTTGGACCTGAGCTTGTGTCAGGTCTCCAGTCCACTCGCCTGCTCTGTGATGGACGTGGTCTTTAGCCAAATGAAATCCTTCAAAACACAAAGGTTTCCCTCCATGACATCAATGAGAAAGTTTGAGGACTTAACATCAAAGCTCTCAGCTTTGGACCTCTAAAAGCTTTGGCCTGAAATCCTTAAACCTGGCGAGTGTTTGGGTAAACAGTTTATTCTGTGTCAGCTGGCGAGAACACTGTCCACTCCGTTAGAAACGTCAGTGGCTGAGGAATGTTGGCCGTGCAGAGCTTCAGTGGGGCTGCTTTTAACATCTGCAGGGCCTCTGACTAATAGTAAACTATTGACTTTCAGTCAATGACGAGAACAGTGGAAGACTGAACGTGCCTTTGGACCTATATGTGTCTTTGCATGGATGAAACCCTGTGTTTGTTTGAGCCTGGGCTTCCTGTGGTGTAATACTAGTGTCTGAGTGAAAGGTTTTCTGTGTTTCATCCTCAGATTACGCAGCTGAAGATCGAGAATAATCCTTTCGCTAAGGGCTTCAGAGGCAGCGACGACAATGAGCTGCACCGCATGGCCAAGCTGCAAGGGTGAGCACAGCTTTGTTAGCGTGTGTGTTGGTGTTTCCAGTATCTGTGTGCGTGTGTGTACTTTTATAGGAAACAAAATCTATTCTTCTTTTTTTCCCTCCCTCACCCAGAGGGGAGGGTTGTTATGATGGGGTACATATGGTCTAAGATGTGTGTGTGTGTGTGTGTGTGTGTGTGTGTGTGTGTGTGTGTGTGTGTGTGTGTGTGTGTGTGTGTGTGTGTGTGTGAGGTGTGTGTGAGGTGTGTGTGAGGTGTGTGTGAGGTGTGTGTGAGGTGTGTGTGTGTGTGCGCGCGAGCCGAGCCGAGCCGAGCCGAGCAAAGCCAAGTGGTATAAAGAGATGTGAGCCATTGTCACCTGAAGCTTGATCTCAGCCTGAAACCTCGTCCAAAACGTGCAGCACAAACACTGAGCATCAGTTCCTGCACTGCATTGATAGATCACGTTGCTGCTGGTCTATTAGTCTGTCACCGCTGATCAGCTGATGGCCTTACATGGTGTCTGTTTGTGAGCTGAGCTAATCTCCATTCAAGCTCTGTTGTGGCAGGCAGTTTAGAGATTTTAGCGAGCCAATGGGAGAGGCTGTTACTGTGTGGAGGGAGAAGAAAGAGAAGGGAGGAGGAGAAGGAGGGAGAGAGGGTGGTATTAAACACAGCAGCCCTGTATTATTGTGCTGCTGTGGCGGAGAGGAGAGGAGAGGAGTCTATCTGAAGTGACACACGGATGGATGTTTTATTTTTAGAGCAGCGAATTATCTCACAACAGCACTGACTGTGATTGTGTGTGCGTGCGTGTGTGAGAGTGTGTGTCACTGTCTCAGCGAGAGTCGAGGGGAGATGTGGCCTGCTGTCCCCTACATACCACAGAGTTCACCAAGAGGGCAGTGTGTACAGAGAGAGGGAGAGAGAGATCAGAGCTGAAAGGATGAAAGACTTGAAAGAAAAAGAAAAGAAAAAAGACCACAAACGACCCTGCAGAATTTAATCTACCTTAAAATACCTGTACAGAGTCAGGAAAGGCAGATTTGAGTTTTGTGCAGCATACCCGAGGCCATAACAACATCAGATGCAAATTGTTGCTCCTGCTGTTATTCTCAACTCACCTCTCTCTTTCTGTTTCAGCAAGGACTACCCAGTGGTCCCCCGCAGTACCGTCCGCCAGAGAGCCTGCTCCACTGGGAGTCCTTTCAGCGGGGAGGGGCGGGGTCTGAGAGGCTCCCCCGAGGCTGTCGGATCCCCCTACAGCTGTGAGAACGGCTTGAACAGCAGCAGCAGTCCCCAGGAGCTGCTGAGCGCTCCCCCCACGCATTACACCCTGCCTCATCCTCCCCTGCAGCACGGCCAACAGCCGCAGGTCTACCACTGCACCAAGAGGAAAGGTAGGAAGAAGCTCTGCGCCGTGTGACAGAGAATTACTGCCGAAGTCTTGAGATATAAAGACAAGTTAACACAGCTATGACCCATTTATTTTGATCGTCACCGAGTTATTGTAATAGTTATTGTACACGTGGAAACAAACAGTGTTTATCTCACTTTAAAAATGATTTGTGAATGATATTACACTCCCTAATGTTTCCTTATTCCAAATAGGAAAATCTCGCTCGAGCAGCCGTAAAACTGATAATGACTGGTTTCTCTCACCTGATATAAAATATTCCTAGTGAACAATAAACAGCTTTGGGTAAATGTCGTAGTAATTGAGTTTCTGTTTTCAGGTCACAAAAAGGACCATTACAGTGGTTTTACATGTTTTTGCCCATTGATTGCTAATTTACAAAGTTACAGTTATTGCTGACTATTATCTAAACTATTATCTAAAGCATGGTATCCATGAATTTAGTTTAAAAATGTTGATGTTTCTCAGCCAACTGCAAAGGTAATAATGTAATTACTATATATAATATGTAACTAAGAAAAAGGAGTTGAGTTTTATTTTACCATGAAGGGCAGATTTTGAGTTTCTTCAGGCTGTTTTTATAGACTCCTGAAAATAATGGAAATCATGAAGAGGAAATAGAAAAAAAAATTAGGCCACTGTCAATGCGTATGGTGAATTTTAAAAAGTTACGTTTGTAGCTTTGTGCAGGTGTTGATTTCTTTGTACTATTGTAGGAAATCAACTCAAAAACCAGAGTGACATTTATTTGTGCTGTGACATTCAGTTCAGTTTGTGTTTGCAGACTGCGTGGAATTATCATCAACTAACTATTTTTGTGTCTGTTTATTTATTTACACATGTTTACATAGGTCTACTCAGACATATGAATCAACAACTAAAAGAAAGCCAGTAACGCGCAACGTCTGAAAATACCAAAAACATTTTCTAAGGCTGTAACTAAAGTCAATTTTGTGTTACACTTAACTGATCACCTAACTAATCATGGGTTTAACTCAGATGTCAGGTTAGCGCTGCTCTCAGGCCTGTGAGACCGTTTGATTAAATGAACATGCTCATCTCTACACGCAGATTTCATAGCAAGCAAGGCACTAAAGGCTTTTTCAATCTGGACTATGATGGCCCTGTTAATAGGGGGTGTGTATTGTTTGAAATGTATTATTGAAAAACTATTGATGCTATTTGGAAATACCTACATTTTAGGATCAAGAGCAAAAGACTATATTGTCATTGCCTCGCGTTTAGGAATATAAACTTATACATAAAACACAACACTTTGTTTCATTTAAGAAAACAAGACAAATGTCTTAAATATTTAATGTTGTCTAAATACAAGGAGCCATACAAGCAGTGTGTGCAAATAACATACGGACTATAACTGTAAAATGATGATTTAAATCAGAAACTAGGATCACAGAATAAGTTGAAGGTTTATGATGAACTGTGATTTGGACACATGTTGTTTGGCACCAAGTCGTAAAGAGATAAAACACTTTTCCTTTTCTTCTGGCAGCATTACAGATAAACTACACTTTAACCCTGGCATCATGTTTATATTTAAGTTAATGTCATACGGATTCTCAAATCAGCCATGCTAATTCAACCTTTCTTCATGTGTACATTTTGTTCTCGTCTCCGTTGCTTGAACTGTCTGAAGTCAGAACGATTGCGCTGGAACTTTCTCAGTTCTCACTTACTGTCAAATGTAAAATCAACAGAATGTTTTCTCTCTGTCTGTAGTGGAGGAGAACTGCCCTTCAGGAAACCGCCAGCACCCGTACAAGAAACCCTTCACTGGTAGCTCACCCAGTGAGGGCGAGTCTTACTATCACCCCTCCTCCTTCCCTCCTCCTCCACCTGGTCTGTCCAACAACACTGCCCTCGGTCTCACTGACTCCCCCTACAGCTCAGACATGGGACAGCGTCAGGCGTGCATGTTTGCCAGCTCAGAGCCCAGACTGGATGAACTCAACTGTACATCCTGGTCATACACCTGTCCGCTCCCTTCTGCAATGACCCCCATGGAACCCTACCCACCTTATACCCCTCATCCTCCCTACAGCTCCAGCCCTCAGGGCTCTCGACTCAGCGCCATAGCCCACCAGAGCTCTCCACCGCTGGGAGAACACATCGCCCACGACCCCTATCAGAGCCAGAGCTCTGGACCTCCATCTCAGAGCTCCCAACACATTCACAGCAGGCAGCTCAGCCCTCCTCTAAGAGAGTATCCTCGCTACACACCCAACCTGTCTCCTCCTCTATATCACACACTAGAGACGCACACACACATCAGGTGTGGAGTACCAGAATGGAGTGCAGCTTCCTAACTGAACCAGAGGACGAACCTGAGAGACTGATTATTGGACAGAGAGTCTCAAACTCAGTGAGCCTTCTTTCTGCTCTTTTGAAAGATGCTGCAGCGTATACAGACTAAATATAATATTACCTTTGTAACATAATTGTGAAAAGTGTGATCTTGTGCTGTGTGAAGAGGTTTCATCTATTAGCCATGTTTCTCCCCTGTGCTGGATGGAGCGGTGGATTGTTGAAGACTGGACTTGGACATCCATGAAGTTTCAGATGTTTGGAAAAAAAAAAAAAAAAAAAAGCAGCACAATCAAAGTTGTAGTTTATCATCTTTTCATAACTCAAAGACTGGTGTCATCCAAATGTTTGCACTGTGAGCCCTGTTAAGGCCAGACTGTGAACAGCACTAGGCTGTTTTCCTCTCAATGACTCCCACTCTTTGCATTGTCAAGGATGTAAATAGTGACCCAATGTCAGACAGGCAGTAACATTTACTGACCAAAATAATCTCAGCTCTCACAGCAGAGCCTGAGGGAGACATTTTTTCTCTTTAGTGGAGCAAAACACAGCTCCATGCTCAGTCTCAGTGAAGGAGAAAAGGCATGAGTTGTCTGTGTGCGTGTGTCTGCGTGCGTGTGTGTGTTTGTATGTAAAGCCTATGTCAGCTCAGCTCAAGGATGCTATGAGTTAATTTCCAATGAGACAGGCAGTAGTAGCTGCAGGCGCTGCACCGTGGAGATAAACAGTTTGTTTAGACCATGCTACAGGCTGAAGGACCTGTAAACACTGTTTCCACTGCATTCTGGGTAAATGCACAACTCAGCGTCACGCAGCTGTCACCACTGTCCTCTCAGTCACCCCCGGCTGACCAATCAGCTTTCTCCGCTCAATGACAGCCAACCAATGAGCACGCACCTCTCTTTTATCCCCAGCTGACCAGTCAGAGCTGGAGCGTAGCGTGCTATGTGTGTGCGTGTGTGATGGCCCATTTTTGTTTGTCTCTGAATTATTCATGAGTCCAGTGTTGATTCTTGACATGCAAGGATGTCTCAGCAAACACAAAGAAATACAGTGCTGTAAATGTGCTCTTTATTAGTTAAATCTAAATCGGTCCCTGTCATATCCATACACCATTATTCCATTAATTGCTTTGACTAGATTGGGTCGAGTGCATTTCCCTGCAGATTCGGGTTTTTACTTTCATCCTTGTAGCTAACTGTAAAGAAACATTTGTGGCTCCTTTCATGCACGCAAGCTGAGATTTTGTTTTTATTTTTGTGTCATGAAGCAGTTTTTATATTTCCACCCAGGTGTTATACATGCAGTAACATGTGAGAAGGTGCTCTAACATTGCAAACCATCCAGGATGCAGAGAGCAGATCCTCATCATTCCTTGTTATGTATTTGATGTGTGTGCGTGAGTATGTGTGTGACAGTGAGCTGTAAAGATGAAAATGTTTGTGTTTTATAGACTTTTTTCCTGCCAATAGTATTTATTACTCTAGATTTGTAAAGATGACCTTGTTGTTAACTTGTGAAACAAGACGGTATCATTCGGAGATATTTGTTTCTCTTTGAAGGTTTGTGTCTGGTTTCACCCTCCATCTCCAAACGGTGATAAATAGTTGTGATAAGCAAAAATTTTTTCTGTTCTATGGAAATAAAGACAGATTTATATGAAGAAATGGAATAAATTTTAGAGAACTTTGCGTAAGTCAATTGGTTGTAGTGTTCTTCTTTGTGGTTAGATGACAAACGCAGCAGAGACAAACTATTAACATTCCCAGTGGGTTATTTAAAGTACATTCAGCACCTTGGGAGTGGAAACTCTTTTAAGTGCAGTGCAACTTATCAGTTTCAATGCATGTATGAATATGAAGGACCTGATAACAACACTAGCCCGCGCCCTTTCCCAAATATATGCTCCAAAAGTGTCCGACAATCTTATTCAACATATTGGAGTATTGTTTAAAGCGTAACAGTGTGTACTATGCTGTCTTATCAAGTATAAGGGACCCCAGTGTCTCCAACTCTTCCATTTAGCAGCGAAACCCTCCAGAGTGGTGTGGGTGCTGGGGTGCTGTGTATACCTTGTCCGCCTCCTCTTATCTCTGACAGGTTGTTTGGCATCTCCAGTCTTCACCAGCTGGACCCCTTCACTGACGACCTGCTGCCCAGGGAGGGGAGGGGTCTGCTGGGATGGAGGACAAAGAAAGGTTGGGGTGTGTTGGTGGTCCCCCCCTTTCTCTCAGCTTCCCCTACAGGCCACCATTCACCATCCTTCCTCTCCCCTGGCATCTCATGTCGTGTCTCACACAGCCAAGCTAACTTATTACACCTTACACCTGCTGAGAGTATTGAAAGCACATATTTTCAAAGAACAGATGGACGTTAACACAGAAAGATTTATTTGCGAAGGTTGTTAAATCATTAAACTTCAAACCCAGTGTATTTACATTTAATTACATAGTTCAATGTGTGTTAGAAGTTGTCAGGTCCTTTTTCTCTTTTCTTCCTTTCTCTCTCTCTCTCTCATACACCATGAGGTCGAAGGTTAAGCAGGCAGCTCTTCAGAGGGTCTGTTCCTCCTTAACCCTTCGTCTCTAGTCAAACTCCAGCTAGGACGGACGAGGAGAGGGAGAGAGGAGGGGGAGAAAGAACGAGAGCTCAGGGGCCTCCTGCTCTGAAGATGGATTGCATCGCTTCATCCTTGCTTGTACAGTAACAGAGCTCTGTGATGGCCTCTGTATGGCTGGGAGTTAGCTGGGAGAGTAAAGCTTTGGGTAAAGTGGTAAAGTAATATTAAACACAGCCAGTATGTGTGTGAGAGTGTGTGTGTGTGTGTGTAATCCATCTATGGAGGACTTTCTCAGACATACTGGTTGGACAGTAGATTGATGAACCTTTGTGATCAAAGAGCCTAAGTGGTGCTTATCGTTATCTCCCCGACACCCCCCCCTCCCCCCTCGCCACCGCCCTTCACCCCAACACACACACTACTAACCCCTCTGGCTGCCCTCTACATTTTCTCCTTTTCTCATCCAGAAATTACTAATTTATGATGGTTTCTAACACGAACAGAGCACAGACAACCACATACACACATCTTCACATCTTTTCTTTTTTTTGTGTGTTGTGTGCACAGTTGAGACACCACATGTTAAAAAAAAAAGAAAGACTGACATTTTTAAATGTCACTCAATTGGCCTGCAGACCTAAATTTTTGTTTAGCTAAACCACGAGGGCTGCTGAGGACGGCTTATGTTTCTGCTGTATTGTATGTTGAGGTTAGTGCGCAGCTATGTGGAGCAATTTCTCTTGCCAAACAAGCTTTTTTTAAAGACATCAAAGACTTATTTAAAGCTTATTTCATTACAGTCTGAACTATTAGTTTGAATATATAAATGTGTATTTGGAGTCTCATGCAGAACTCTGAGAGGCACTTGTGTGATGTCTAGCATTAGTGATGCCATTTTGTGTGGAATAAGTGGTCTGAGATGGAGTGTAATTGGTAAAGTTGATTATGGTTCGTCTCCATGGGTCTGATGGTACTTCATCTCTAGGGCAGTAAAGGGAGACAGCTTATTCCTTCCTGACTAGCTTGGTACTAGTAAAGTAGCTATTACATTGGCATGCCACAGAGAACAGAGGAAGCTTGGATCTATACAAGTTTCATGTTTGGAAATAAATATTAAAATGACATGTATCTGAGCCTGTAGGATAATTTATCCTTTCCCCCATGGCTAACATCTTACCAAAGCTTGTTTGTGTAAGTGTTTGCTGTTTTTAGAGCTTCATCAGACCAAGTGGGATTGAAAAGCTGAGAAGACATCATTGAAAAATGAGTTGATGGGTGTATAAAACCAATTTTTTTCAGCATATCTTAATATACTAAACCATAAGTATCTGTAATTAGAACCATTAAACACAGTATGGCACTAAGAGGACAGCACAATAGCCGCACAATTATGTAAAACAATGGATGCTTGGCCATTACATATGGTGCAACAAAGTAGGATGGTGGAGGTTTATTTGGATGGTGCTATCCATCCTTGCTGTGATTTAAAAGCCAGAAGAATGGTCTGATGCTGTTAAGCACAGTTTAGTAACAAGACTCAGACCCAAGCTAATTTCCCCCTAAATGAGAGTTTATTGCTGAAACAGCCCTGAAATCACTGAAGTAGATCTTAATATGAGCATAAGAGCTGTCAAGGATAAGAGGCCAAGTAAGTGTGTGTGTGTGTGTGTATGTGTGTGTGTGTGTCTGTGGGTGGGTGCGCATGGGTTGTCCTGAGTGTTGCGTCTGAAAGACAAAAGGAGAGGTTAAGGGTCAAACTAACAGCAGACAGGCCAGTCCAGGGTCAGAGGGCTCAGACTAACCTGATCAGTGATGGTTGTTTATCTGACAAACCTCAAACCGTCACCCTGATGGAGCTTCCTTATCGTTCCCTCTTATGTGGACTCTCACTTTTAGAACAAATCAACAACTCAGTGCTAGTTTTGAAGAATAGCTGATCCCTCTGAAAGAAATAAACATGCAGACATCATGTTAAATAAGATGTAGGATATAGAACTGGCCTCACGGTAGTCACGTCCCAGGATCAGGTCCAGATGAAAATCTTTGTCTCCCTGATTTTCCAATCACTCTCTCCAGTGGAAGCTAGGTTTTAAAGAAAGGACACAGTGATGTGAGCAAGAATAATTGTTTTAACTCCTAACATACCGCCAAGGTCCCAAGATCGGCAGCCAAACACACATGACAGGGTGGAAGGGATAGAGGCGCTCCCGCAGTGGGTGGTGGTGGGGGTTGTGGGTCGTCATGGAGCCAGTGTCCCGTCTGATTACGGCCAGAGGACTGGAGAGGCACGCTAATCCTCCACACACACACACACACACACACACACACACACACACACACACACACACACACACACACACAAATATAGATGCACACATATGCTCTCTTGGAGACAAAGACACACAACCAGCAAGACAGAAAGACATGTACACACACACACGCGCGCGCGCACACATGCACACACACGCACGCACATGCACAAAAACAAATTCTCACACACACACAAACCTATTCTATGAAAAGATTATACTCCATACCCCTTGACCTCACTCTGGTCCCCTTGTCCAGACAGGGCACACAGCATAATGATATCACTACCAGCAGGACTTCACTTTGCAGTTCTGCTTGTTTGCTCACTGTACAGACCGACTGCAGCCCCTCACAGTTTCCCAGTTTTGAATAAAGGAACATTGTCAGGTCAGTATTGTGCATGTGCCCAGGCCGGGACCACAGCCAAGATTTTTAAAAATACTCAGGCTATGAGAATCCAGGGTTACTTGCAATGCACCCCCCCCCCCTCCCACCCCCCCCCCCCCCCCCCCCCCTTTTTTTTGGTTTTTAATTTTTTGTTTCAATGACATTACAGCAGCTGTAAATTATTATTTTTTTTATAATAACAATGTATCAAATGATAATAAGATACTGATGAACCTATAAGGAATTATCACCATAATCTTCAGCTTCCTTCATCTTTATGGAGCCTTATAGTGATTTCCTCTCATAGCTCAGCTGTCTGGTCCACAACTTTACTCTTCTGGTTCACTCTCACTGCTCCTGTAGAGTTGTTTTCAGAGAAAAAACTCAATAAACCCAAACAGCAGACAGACACAGTGATGATAATTTTACTTTGTGACTCCTGAATGTGTAAATATGCACCTGTCTGCTACAAATTCACCATATCAACTTAAAAAAGTGATGACATATCAATATTGTTTTCACTTGTTTCTGCTGCCCCCAAGTGGCCACAAATATTAGCTGTTTTAGGTTAAGTATAGTGTAAATACTGGGATCATTTTATAAAATACTCAGATTTCACCAAATACTCAGAAGAACAAGGCTGAGTCTTCAGCCCTGGTGGTAGCCCTGCAAGGCTGCACTTAGCTACATTTAATGTCAGCATGCTAACATGCTCACAATATCAATGCTAACTGCTATGTTAGTTGGTATAATTTTTACCATGCTCACCATCTTATTTTAGCATGTCAGCATGCTAAGATTTGCTAATTAGCGTTAAACACAAGGTATTGCTAGGCTGATGGAAATGTAAACCACCACAGTACTGGACAAGTTTAGATTTTGACCTGAGTTACAATAATTCATCCTGAGGAAGACAGGAATGTTTCAGTCTGGACCAAAGTGGCAGACTGATCAACAGGCTGACAGAGTCTTTCACTACAAATGCCTTATTTCTGTGGTTTCCAACCTTTTTGGCTTGTGACCATTTATAGTAATGTTTGATAAAGCATTTTAGAGTGGATCTAAATCGTAAGCAGTTATAGAATCTTATATAGAAGACTTATATATGATAGTTTTCTTGAGGTTGAGATCTCAGACAACAACAGTGTACAAAAAAGGCCAAACAATCACAATAAAAAGAAAAACAAAAAAGTTCAAACAATTACAAGAGTCATAAAAACCATCAGATAGTAAAATTTTAAAATTGACAAGGGGAATGAAGCTTGGGGGAAACCAAAAGAGTGAGCTTCCATCTTGGATTGTTTCAGGATTTTTAGTGGCCTAAAGAGGTGACAGACTTCTGTATTTTACAAGAAGAAAGGGCAAACGTAGAATCAGAAGAAACAGATATCCTTTTATTTAACACATCTATCTGGTAAATTGTTTTTGTGATCTGTTAC